AGGAATGGCTCAACTTACATTTCTATGTTTTCTGTTTAAAAATTTTTAAGTGTCCTATTGCTATTTCATTCGCTTTTCTTTAGTATTAATGACTTAACCCCCCCCCACTTTTTTCTTTCTTCCAGTTTCTAAAATGTTAAATATATTTTCCAAAAAATTTGTAAGTTATATGTAACCTTTATTTTAAATCTTGTTGTAAAATCAAAGGAATATTCACGTTTTAATGTTTTGTTTTTTCTTCTTGTATCAGACATCTGATGATGATGGCTAAGCCATCGAAAGCTGCAATAGCTCTTATATTAAGTACTATTGTTCGCAATGACAACGTTTATAATTATTTCATTCTGCATAATTGAACCAGCTTACTGTATTCGTATATGAAACAAACGTCAGTGTACTTTTTTGGTATAGACTCTGTGTAATAGTTATGTTATTTAAAATTTATTTACATTTCTTTATATCATGACTCACGAATGTATATTTAGAAACTTGTTTATGCACAAAAGGGTTTGAATTCGTATTTTACACATTGTAAATGTGTCTCTATGTCCAAAGTCATAAAATATTTACAATGCATTATGTATTGTATATTTATTATATAGATAATAGAATCGTGTTATTTACTCAGTTTGACATTTTCTTAGTTAAATATAATTTATTTTAATTTTATAAACTTATAACGTTGCTTCAATAATCTGACTTTATAGAAGCTAACATTTGAATGATGTTCTACGAAATTCGCTGCCATTTCGAAACAGTGTCCTTAAGATCCTTAAAAAAATTTAAAATTTAAGCAAACTCTCATAATTAATAAATAATAACTTTAATAAATAATAAATTAATTAACATTCAAAAAATTAGGTTTCTAAAATAGTAATGTTTTCGTTCCATTTTAATTAGTAATAAAGATATTTCTCATGAAAATAATACATATTGTTCGCGTTTTCCTTATTTTAAGATTGAATCATATGGTACCTAGAATTAGACTATCGGGATATCTTTTGATTGTTATCATATCTCTAGATTTTATTGTTTGCATGCCACTCACGATGAGCCATGCAGGCAAGATGTTTGTTATCAACTACGATCTTTGTACTCTTTTTTTCTTGTGCATGCTGCTGGCTGGTGCTGCAAATCGTCCCAAGAGATGAGTACGTAGCATAGTAGATAACGTAGTACGTAGAAGGAATACATTGTAGGAACACAATACGTAAATGGAAAATTAAGACTAAGATTGGAAAATTAGGTCATCAGTGTCGACATCGGACTAATCTGATGTTTCAACAATATTGCTTTCTCTTTTTGTAAACATTTTTTCAAGGGAATTTTGTTTCTGAATCAGAGATTTCTAGGATATATTCTCAGCTAAATTATTATGTTTTATAATTATTTCATGTACAAATAAAAGTAACCCCGAAAAATAGTAATAATAGACATATGACATGCAATGCAATATTTAATGGGAAATGCAATATCTCAGTAAATAATTAAAATAATAAAATTTTTATGAAACAATTATAACATTCTGTTCTAGAGAAAGACTCTTAATTGAATTGAATTGAATTGAATTGAATTTGCCTTATTTTAGGTGGCGAAACTCGGGCCATCAGGCCCGCTCTTCCGTCTGACCACGCAAATTTCGCTACGCTCCTTTCACCAACTAGGAGAGAAAGGAGGTATTTCTTCGGCGAGAAACAGGTGATTTGAATTTAGCTCAGAGGCAACATTTAGGCTTGAGGATCTTTTACATGCAAGTAAATCTACGAACATGGGACAGCCGGCTTTACTTCCCCTCCGAAGGAAGGCGTACGAAGGATTTTTTCGCCCTTAAAAATCCACGGCTTCGATCGGGTTTCAACCCACCAACTTGGGTACAACAGTCCAGTACGCTAACCGTTACACCATCGCCGCCGCTAATAACAGTTATATTTAAATATTGACTTCAATTTAAGACAATTTATTAATCGATTACAGTTTTTTAAAAATTTCTAACGAGCTCTTTAAGCTCTACTGAATATAGTAAATGTGAAATAACAGCTAGTTTGATTGATTCCCTAGAAAAAACAATAATCAACAATTTACGAAAGGAATAACTTAATTATCTCAAATACGTTTGAAGATAAAACATTTTAGCTGCGACGTTGGGACTAAAAATGTCATTAGTCGACATTTAAATCTTTACCTCAATAATCCATGGTGTTACGCAACAGTAAAGAAATGCTAAGTCACCTCAAAAATCGAAAGAATTAGAAAAAAGCATCTTTTAACATTTAAAAGAAAATACATCAGAGTATAATTGACAAAACTTTTAAAATGGATAACTTCACGATTTTTCACAATTTTCAAGTACATTAATGAATCTTTTAGTTTTATTTTGCTGAAAAAATGTCAGCAAACCTATATAACATTTTAAGAGGTTGGATAAGATTGATGAAGAAATGGAACCCTAAGATAACTATTATGCTGATTGAACCCCAGCATAAATAATTTAAAGTATAAACAGAAATATAAAAGATGCTTCTCCTAATTGTTAAGTTCCACCTATCTGTACCTAGACGTGTTTTATCCTCATTTACTTATTCAGTTGATTGCTCATTAATTCTCCGTTTATCGTTTGGGCGTATTATTAACGCAATGGCACGTGACGATATCAGCCAAAATATCAACAACAAAACAAGCCCCTTGTGTGTAATAAATCTTATAAAATACACACTTTTCTTACTATGGTATTATAGAAACTGGCAGGCTCTCTGCAAATCACATTGTTCATTTAACAGAGCACACACTGGGCATATCCTTTCGTCTCCGTCTCGTCCACCTTTTTAGCAACTTCTCGTTTTTTTTCTAAAAATAAACCTGAATCCTACCAAAAAATAATGAAAACGAGACTGGTAAAGTTGGTAACTATTCAACAATGTGATCTGCTGTACAATTTACTGCAAGTCACGTCATATTAGTACATCGCCATACTTATTTGGTAATGTCATGATATATTCAAAAATATTGTATTGTGGTGTACATCATTTCGCATTTATTAGAATGAATAATGCTATTACTTGAATGTTTTACTTTCCCATTTATGAAGCACACACGTAGTGTTTGTACAGAGAAAGTTACGTAAGGGTGAGGAAAATCGCTGCTGAGATGTTGACGAACATTTTTACAGAGATGTACACAATTTACGATCAGTGTTGCCAGATGGGTTTAGAGAGATTCCGCCATGTTCGTTTCAGTTTCCGCCGAAAATCCGCTAAACGTAAAATAAATTATTTTTCCATATTTAAATGTTGTATTAATTTATTCTATTAAAACAAAAATATGATTGCGAAATATAGTGGCTTTATTGAACCTGTAATTCAATTTTTCGATAGTATAGAATGCATTACTTGGATGAAAATTTGCAAAATAATAACAATTGATTACAGGTAGTATATAATTTATTGTATAAGTATTATATTATTTATTCTTGCTAGTAACATGGAATTAGAAATTTTCAAAATATACATCTGTGCAAGACAACTTATTAATGGAGGTTAACTGCTTTACTAACTTTTACTGTTTTACTAAATTAATTCCCGCCGTTTATTCCGCTGTCCGCGAAACTCATTTTTTCCGCCGTACGAGTTCAAAATCCGCTGAAAACGGCGGGAATTCCGCCGATATGGCAACACTGTTTACGATATATCATTGTTTTCCAACGCGGTCGGTATCTACCGCCGTTTCCGTTCTCGATGCAATTTTAGAGGGGGTCAATGATGATGAATGGGCCGAGTAGGGGTCAATAGCTGAATAAGCACCGGCAACTGCTCCATATAATAAAAATCCTATCAGTAACAAAAATATAAATGCAATGTTAATTGTTTTCTTATTCAAAGGGTGAAACAATCAAAACAAAACATAAAACATAATTTTTTTCTAAAAATCAAAAAGTGTAATACTTTAAAAATATTAAAACAAAGCTAGTAATTTTTTTCCAAACTTTTGTTTTAATCTTTGCCCAATTTTTATAAACCCTGGCGATTTTGGGACCCCTTAAATGGAAGAACTATTATCCTCGAAATGAAGGGAACAAGTTCTTTTATTCTCAAATTGTCTGTCCGTCCATACGTATATGAATTCATTTGGCTGCCTGTTTGTCTGTCTTCCCAGCCACAATTGTTTGCACAATTGTAGTTATAACACTATGAAAATACTTAATAAAAATAATTTATATTAAGCTGATAAATGGATTTTAATACGAGACCTATGGAAAAAGAACACTTTTGGCTCATTCTTTGATAAGCAGAAGTGTACAGACCGCCTTGCAGTGAAAGATGATTAGTGGGCTGTGTTGTTTTTGTATTGTTCGTGCAGGTCGGACTATTGATGTTTGATGACTCAGTTCATTTTGAACTGTAGGTACGATATCAGGTTACCAGGACTGCTGCTGGCTCGAAATAAGTGTAGGCTTGATTGCGCAAACACGTTTTATTCGTAACTAAAATTAACTGGCACTAACACGTGTATACAATGTTGATGGTCTCGTTACACTTAACACAGCTTTCTTATCACAGTTATACCTCAATGTGAGATTAACAAAATGACATTGGCAGCTACCTATTTCAAGAGTTGAATTTAACTCCCGGTTGACAAATGTTCGCGTGTTCAAACGTGCTCATTATGAGACTTCAAAAGCTTGTAAAGCTACAAGCTTCACCCGAGGATTTATGTGAAAAGACTGTGCCTTCCACGGAGTTGGGAGACGACAGCTCAGGCGTAAACCACACGGCGTCTTAACCAGAATTGATTTTGTTTTACGTCGTCAGACGCCGCGAGATTTTCTGCGCACAGGGGACAGAGAGGGGATGGCGTATTACCCTATCACAGATTTCACATTTGAAATGTACCAGAATCTTCTGGGTGGATTTGGCGGTTCGAAAATCGTTAAGAGCTGTTGTCTGAACGTGGCGTGATTTGACATGCAAAATTTCTTTCGAAGCTCTGAGACGCGACGCAAACACATGCGGTTCGACACGACGCGATACGACGCGACACGACACGACACGACACGACACGACACGACACGACACGCCGCGCCACGCCGCGCCACGCCGCGCCACGCCGCGCCACGCCGCGCCACGCCGCGCCACGCCACGCCACGCCACGCCACGCCACGCCAACACCTCCATCCAAGGGGAGAGGGCTTTGATCAGACTCGGCGGAAGATGGCGGTTCGCTCACACACACCCGTGGCGCGACCTCTTGTTGCCGCTGAAAGTACTACCAGAAGATTCTGTCCAGCTAGGATATGTTTTGGTATACGAGCGTGTCCAAATACCTTTGCCGGTCGGATACACTTGTGCAGGTTCAAGAAGTTTTATACAATTATGTAAACTTTACAAATAATGGGAGAAAGTATGTTCCGCTTCAGCACTTTTGGTTTCCTTTTGTTCCATTTTCTGAGTTTTTATACAAATAATTTTGTGTATAAAATACTGCATAAATTTCTCCAATATGCTGTTTTTAGTAGTAAAAAAATGAAATATCATGTTTATCAGTGGAAATAAGTTTTTTCACCTTGGAGGTTAAAATGTCTCATTTTCAAATGTTTCTAACCCGGCTTTGTTGGTTCTCTTTTCCATTATATAATTGTGTAGAGTAACATTCTCGTGCTCTGATTACACTTTAACTCCATATGTCACTGTTTTTATTGTTCTTTGAAGTCAATAACATCTAGGAGATAGTTTCCGAACAATAGTGTAATTCGACGGATGTAACGCCTGGAAGACAATGCATGAAGTCGTAGGCTTCCGCGACCAGAGTCATGTGGGTGATCTGGGCTGTCCGGGTGACGCCCGCGTCGAAGGCTGAGTTGCCGACGTTTCGACCATCCTGTCGTGGTCTTCCTCAGGGCTGGTGTCACACTTACCAGCCCTGAGGAAGACCACGACAGGATGGTCGAAACGTCGGCAACTCAGCCTTCGACGCGGCGTCACCCGGACAGCCCAGATCACCCACAAGACAATGCATGCCGTCCAGAAGCATATCAAGAACTTTGAAGGGTGACGAGAAATTCCAAATGTTTGTTGTTTCCTGTTTGTTGAAGCAGGTGTCACACTTTTCAATATTTGTGAACTCAAATTGTCAAATTGTTGATTGTGGCCCATCTTTGGCATGTTGTTTAACCTATATACATCCTGCATTTGGTTTAAATTTCTTATCTATTATTAATTTTGAATTATTTTGAAATGTTTTAATCCCGTACATTGAATGTGTTTGTTCAAATAAAAACAATGTGTTGTTAACAACATGTCCGTGATTTTCGTCTCCCTCTTTCTCGCTTCTTTTGTCTTCATTGTTTTCTTCATATGCTCCGTCTTTTTTTGCCTTTTTCGTTCACTTTGTTTCCGTTTCATTTACCTTATTGGGTGTCAATTATTAAAATATGTGAAACAATAACATACTTCATTCATTTTCGTTTAATTGTATGAACAACTAAATAAGAAGTGGAATTACAAGGCCTGGAATGTTTCCAGAATCTAATGCCATGTTCTTTAAATTATTTGTGTTTTCAGGCACGAGTGGCCCGAACAGCCTCCGGTCTGTTCGTGAGTTGGCATAAGACAATGCAAAGTGAGAATTCAACCCTGTGCTCTTTGGCTGCGCCAGATTGCTTGCTTCTCCCCGTCTATACCGATGAAAAGAAGAAACTGTTGAGTGTTTGTTCGGCAACAGTCGCGTTTTTATCAGTGTTCATTGATTTAGCGGCCGCAGTTTCATAAGCAGTTTGTTGACTTTGTGCAGTGAAACGCATCGAAGTTCGGTGACTCCATTTCCTTGGCTGCGAATAAAATTCTGGTGTTGGTAAATGGAGTAAAAATCAATTTTCGTGGGACGTCTTTACCCGTCCTTCTTTATGGTGGATTAAGTGCGGCTGTTGTTAAAAGTAGACTTCACATTCCTCTAAATTTCTTTGCCCCTCCCCCTTTGTTGTGAATTAAGTGCTGCTATTGTTTAGAGTAGAGAACATTACTTACTCTGGCACATCTTTCCCTCTCCTCGTTTTCTGTAAAATAAGTGTTGCTGATATTAACAATAATAGACGTCACTGCACTTAGGTTTACTGAGTAAATATATACGTAGTGGAGTACGTAAGAATGGCTGGAATATTTCTATTCGCATTTCGGTTTTCTATACTAACATCACTTCTGTTTACGCCCGGAAATGCGATGACGGGACAATGTACGGCTACTTCTAGCTCTGTATTTTGTATAGGAATGGAAGGCAGATTTCTGTCACACGGTCACAAACCCCAAGTTTACGCATTTTATATCCTTGACTCGGATCTTCGTGCGTTGACGTCAAAGGACTTCGCTTCATTTCACAACCTGGAGTCCCTTCTCATTTCCAAATGCTCCATCCCAATCATTCCAGAGAGATATATACTACGGGAGCTGGGACATCTCAAGAGTTTGCAGATTATGCACTCGAACATCGACCTAGAACTTGGCAAGATCATCGGGGATGTTCCCGGGCTTACTAGACTGTCTCTGCCAGGGAATAACATATCTCGTATTGACAAAACTCTCATGGGGCACTTTCATCACGTGGAGACGATTGATCTGAGTCACAACGACATTTCCGAAGTTGACGCGGATATCTTCAAAGAGATGCCAAAGTTGAGGAAGCTTAATTTATCACACAACAAGCTTGGCAAAACAAATCTTCCCATTAAGTATGGTGATTTTGATCGTCTATCGCACGTGGAAGAAATAGACCTGAGCCACAACAACATCCTCGAAATTGAAGCTGGAGCTTTGGACGGGTTATCAGCGTTAAGGCGGCTGGATCTATCGCACAACCGGTTGGGAGACGGCGTTGGTCATGGTATTAAAAAGGGTATTTTCAATGGTTTATCGCACGTGTGGGAGATAGATCTGAGCCACAACAATATTTCCACCGTCGACGAAGAAGCCTTCAGTGTCCTGCTCTCTTTAAAGTATCTGGACCTGTCGCACAACCAGTTGGGAGCCGGCGTTGGCCATGGTATTAAAAATGGTATTTTCAATGGTCTATCGCAAGTAGAGAAGATAGACCTGAGCTAGCAAAGATATCTGCCACTGTCGATGAAGGATGATTCAGTGGCCTGCTCTCTTTAGAGTGGCTGATCTATCGCAGCAACCGTTGGGAGACGGGTCGGTCATGGTATTAAGAAGGGCGTTTTTGATGGTTTATCGCACGTGTTGGAGATAGACGCTGAGCCACACGAGATTTCCGCCGTCGACGAAGGAGCCTTCAGGGGCCTGCCCTTTTTTGAGGCGACTGGACCTGTCGCACAACCGGTTGGGAGACGGCGTCGGTCATGAGTATTAAGAAGGGCGTTTTTGATGTTTGTCGATGTGGAGAAGATAGACCTGAGCCACAACGAGATTTCCGCGTCGCGCGAAGGAGCCTTCATGGGCTGCCCCTTCTTGAGGGACTGGACCTGTCGCACAACCGGTTTGGGAGACGGTCGGTCATGGTATTAAAATGGTATTTTCAATGTCTATGCAAGTAGAGAAGATAGACCTGAGCTACAACGATATTGCCACTGTCGATGAAGGATGCTTCAGTGGCCTGCTCTTCTTAGAGTGGCTGGATCTACGCACAACCGGTTGGGACGAGCGTCGTCATGGTATTAAGAAGGGCGTTTTTGATGGTTTATCGCACGTGGTGGAGATTGACCTGACCACAACGAGATTTCCGCCGTCGACGGAAGGAGCCTTCAGGGGCCTGCCCTTCTTGAGGCGACTGGACCTGTCGCACAACCGGTTGGGAGACGGCGTCGGTCATGGTATTAAGAAGGGCGTTTTTGATGGTTTTGTCGCATGTGAGAAGATAGACCTGAGCCACAACGAGATTTCCGCGTCGACGAAGGAGCTTCAGGTGCTGCTCTCTTTAAAGTTCTGGACCTGTCGCACAACCGTTGGGAGACGGCGTCGGTCATGGTATTAAAAATGGTATTTTCAATGGTCTATCGCAAGTAGAGATGAATAGACCTGAGCTACAACGATATTTGCCACTGTCGATGAAGGATGTTCAGTGGCTGTCTCTTTAGATTGGCTGGATCTATCGCAAACCGTGGGAGACGGCGTCGGTCATAGTATTAAGAAGGGCGTTTTTGATGGTTATCGCACGTGGAGGAGATAGACTGAGCCACAACGAGATTTCGCCGTCGACGAAGGAGCCTTCAGGGACCTGCCCTTCTTGAGGCGGCTGGACCTGTCACACAACCGCCTGGGGCAGGGCTTCTCGCCCGCCTTCCTGTCGCTGCGCGCGGCTGCGTGCTGTGCGCGCGTGCGGGGCAGAAGGCGTGTCGGGACGCGTGCCCGCCGCCCGCAGCCGTGGACGCGCTGTGGCGCGCCGCTGCCCGGCCCGGGGCTGCTGCGCCTGCACGGCAACCCCGTCTGCCAGGCGCGTGGCCAGCGCGCGCGCGGCGCAGGAGCGTGTGGGGCGAGCGGGGCGGCGGTGGAGGAGGGCGACGGACTGCAGGGTGCGGGAGGGGCGGCACCTGCTCACAGCAGCGTGCAGGGGATGGGTTCCTGCAAGCCGCTTGCGATGATGACTATGACGATATACTATGATGATGATATGACGATGATGACTATGACGATGATGATATGACGATGATGACTATGACGATGATGACTAATGAGAGGAGAAGATGACGAGGAAGATGGACGAGGGCGCGGGCGAGGGCGCGGGCGCGGGCGAGGGCAAGGGCGCGGGCGAGGGCAAGGGCGCGGGCGAGGGCAAGGGCGCGGGCGAGGGCAAGGGCGCGGGCGCGGGCGAGGGCGAGGGCGAATTCGTGGGAGAGGGCACCAAAGGGGGCATGGTCCTGGTTGGACTGCCTGGCATGGCGGCGCCGCTGCTGATCGCGCTGCTTTGCGGAGTGACGGTTGCGGCCATCGCTTTCCGTCTTCTTTCCCGCCGCCGCGCAGCCGCCACCGCCGCCGCCGCCGCCGCCTCCACGGCCGCCGCCGCACTCCTTATTGACGACGACTTCGATGCGCGAGGAGAGGTACGCACGCAACTCTTCTAGACTCTCGCTCTAGACCTCTCATATGCCAGAATCCGGAAAAATATGTAGTAAAAAGGGGAAACATATGAATGTAAATAAGTAATTAAAACTAGTACGACGTAACAAATGTGTGAAAAGGGTCTGAATATGTACAATAAAATTAACACAACATTCACAACCAAACTAATTAAATTTACACAATTTGAAATGTCATTCATAAAATATTTATTAAACCATATTTTAAAATAAACTTTGCTTGGCGGCCTAGTAAATTGATTTTTAGAAGAATACGTTTTTATCTTTAATAACAATAATAATAATCTAGAATGTGGAAACTCATGACAGGTAACCAAAGACGCTGTAGTATTACCTTCTTGTGTTACCTGCCTCCGACTATCCGCATTTTGCAAAAATTTGAATTATATAAAGAAATATCTCATATATCATACTTTCCACACCGAATGATAATATTATTCCATACGCTCACTCGAATTTTGTGCCACATGTATGACGCGCAGGCAGAAGGCCCAAATAAAGGCAAGAGTGCATCTCGCCTAGTGTTTACGTGGGTTACTGCTCGTCGCCAGCGAGCAATCCTGAGTTTAGTTAGAAATTTGTTCAGAATTTTTAATTAGATACTTTTTAAAAAAAATTGTATGAAATATTTTTGCGAAATACGTGTCACGAATATTGGTAGAATAATCTAAAATTTACTCAAATTTGTGAAGTGGAACAAAATACTCCTAGGGTAACGAAATATTTAGATATTGTGTAAGGATTGTCATGATTCCCAAAAATCACAATTTTGAGAATAGAGTGTGGAAAACAAAACTAGTGTGTAATTGCACCTGAATCGGAATTCTAGTGATGACAGGTTACTCTTATAACGACGTTCCAACTCTCTTTTTTTTTGTTTTTGTTTTTTTTGCGTCGACCGGGAAGTGAACAATTCTCCTTGAACAAAGTCAAGTCCTAGGTCATTGCATTTTATCCCTATCACCTATTATCCCCCCCTTTACTACCTTTGGCTAGACACCATTGCCGCTATCATGGCGATATTTAATTTTGTTATGTTTATTTTCATAATATCCCTGAAACAATTTAATTTTAAATAACTTATCTAACTTTTTCTTTACATTGTTGTTGTTCTTATAGAGGAATGTCTATAATTACGGTGTTGTTACGATATGGATTAAAATGTCTGAAATTTATGAACTGCAAAAGTTTAGGCATATTTTGTACTTCCAATATTCAGGCTATAAATTTATTTCTTAATGCACTTTACCTCTTTATTTTAGATCATTAAATGATGTCACGAACTCTTTTTTTTTTTAATACGACAGTTGAGTAATACCACTAGGAGGAGGAAATGTTTCGGTATGTCAGAAGCCCCAGTATTTTATTACGCAGTCGAACAAGAATGCGAGTCTATATATTTACTTTTCTTCCCATTGGAATTTCTGAAAATGTAATAGAAATGTTTTATTTTTACAAAGATATATACATGTATGATGTAGGGAAATATGGAAAAGAAATCGTGCTTACACTTAACTCGTAAAGCACCTCATTATTTAAACCACTGCAGTTTTTTTACAAAAGAGCACATGTGCCACTATTGTTAGACACTGCATTTATTTTACTCACAAATATTTGTATTTAAAATCGCTATTTGAACTTAAGAAAGCTCGTATTGACTACTCAACCTTTCTTATATTTTCACGAAGAAGAAATTTTTGCTTTGCAATCGGATGATTTCAATAGATCAGTTACAACTCTCACAGTGAAATAATGAAAAAATGACGACAGATCAGAGTACAATATATTAATTTTATGATCTTACTAAAATTATGTTATAGTAAGTATTAAGAATCTGGGACCCACCACCTACCTTTGAAGTAAAAGTCGCTCAATTTGGTTGAACATAACAGAAACTAGTTTCTAATCGAAAACACAAAGTGTTTTACAAATAAAGAGTTTGCAATTTTGAAAATGTAAGAAGTTTGAATGAAAATCGAA